AAATTTAATATATAAAAAATGCTGAATTTTTTAATATTTATTAATAAAATGAAGTGCTAAATTTAATATATAAAAAATACTAAATTTTTTAATATTTATTAATAAAATAAAGTATTAAATTTTTTAAAATTATTAATAAATGAGGATAATAATCTTGGTGTAGTGGTTGGATTGTCATTCTTCAAGTGGCAGGTCTAAGATTCAAATTCTATTTATGATGAAATTTGGAAATTATATCTGCATTATAGTAATTGTCTTCTATCGATCGGTTTGTCTTATGCAGCTGTAACCCTATCGATATTAGGAGCTTGAGGCATCTATGCAAAATGTAATATTATACATACATAAAGAAATGTATAACCAGTATTGCATAAGACTTTAGTACAAGCCTACAATAACACAATTAAGCATAGAAGACTAAGAAACTAAGTTGACAGAAACTCACTTGAAAATTCTCGAATAAAGAGATAATATGAATTTTTAATAGTATTATCAGACTGGTTAAAGCCTATAAATCACCTTTATAGAAACTAAAACTTAAACTAAATATTAAATATATATAAAAGAGCATATAACCAACCAGACCACCAGATTCACCAGAGGAAAAGAATACAAAAATATATTTATTAGGCCATCTGAATTGGTAATCTGAAATGAGACTAATAATTCCAAGTTGTAACTAGTAGAAAATGATAATGAAGATACCAGAAAGATAAGTACTGAAGTTCTAATAAACTTTACAAGAATAAAAATAGTTTAACATAATGGTTAAACAGGTAACTTCTATGACTACAAGTATTAGATAACTATAATATATTGCATAAAACTAGGTTTATATGTATAGAACATAAAGGTTCTAATAAGTTTTCTGTCTAGAATAAACTAGTCCTAAAGATAATGATTAGCATCAGGAATTTGAATAAGTGTAACCTTGAGATGTTCTTGTAATACAAAGAGGATTGCATATGCAAAGGATTTAAATAGACAAGACTCTAGTTGACTTGCAGGTATGATAACTAGTGTAAAACTTATATAGCAATATATAAGCAGACTACTTAAATTAGGTAACAAAAGTGCACATATGACTAGTTGTAATTTTCAATGTAAGGTGAACCCCTGATAACATATCATGTCCTAATATACTTGAATAAAAACATCACATCTTCAAGATAGAAACTTTAACTATAAAAAAAAAAAAATTATTAATAAATTAAAGAATTTTTAAATTAAAATAACTTTTTAGCAAAAGAACTTTTTTGAAAAAACTCTTTATAACTATATTTCTTAAGTCTTAAATAATATAACTATAGAAAAATTTTTTTAAAAATTATTATTAGTTAAAAAATTATCAAACTTTTATTTAAAGCAATTATTTTGTAATGTAATTAGATGTCTTGCACTATAACAATTAAATATTACAGAATTAGTCTTTATTACATGATTAAACCCTTAGTTTTTATTGGTTCATCTTGCATAATTAGATTAAGATCAGCGCGCCAAATTCTTACCTTACATATAAATTAGGCAATTTTTAAACCCTTATAGCATTATCAAAAAAATTCTCTTTTAAAAATGTAGTTCTACATCGAAATTACTAATTTGAGAAAGGATTTTTTTGTTTAACAACTTGTTTGTAAATTATAATGTTTTTTATAAGATGAATAAAATTGGATATCTTATGCTGTCCCGTACTGTACAAAAATATTACATTATAATTTTTGTTGAAAAAAAATAAAGTTTATGTACATCTTCTTTAAGTGCATATTTATAACTAATTTCAGATGTACTTAGAAAGGTTTGACTGTAATATCTTATAGGCTGATGTAAATTATAATTGGTTGACAGTTAGCAGTAACGAAATGTAACTATCTCTGTATCTTGTCATAATTATAATGAGTTACGGCAAAAATGCTGTAGTTATGAGTTACAGAGTTTCGCCTACTCTAATCATGTGATAAATCCTGACGCGTGACGTAAACAAAATATACGTTATTAGTGTGTTATAAATAAATGCTTTTTAATCACTATTTTAACTTTGCTGTCAATATGGACGTTTATTCGCTCATAAATCATAATTCCCCTTCTCCACGAATTCATCATTCCTCAACATCGCAGGAACAAGTTAATTGCATACCCGAATTCTCTTCGTTTGAACATCAAAAGGAAAATATTTTACCTTTAAAACAAGGTCGAAGTGGCGCTTCGTTGTCTAGAGTCTTCTCTGGTGATTCTTATTCTTTTGGAATTGATTTACAGGCTGGTCATGCTCAGTTCAGGGCTGAACTTGAAACTCTGAATGAACTTGACGATCCTTTTGACGTTTACCATCGTTACATAAAATGGACTATTGAAAATTATCCCCAAGGTCAAACTCCCCAATCAAATTTAGTCCAACTTTTGGAACGCGCTTCTCTAAGTTTTATCAACGATTCGCGCTATAAAAATGATCCAAGATATCTGAGATGCTGGTTGCAATATGCCAATTTTGTCGGAAAAACAAACCAGCTATTTGATTTCTTGAAAATCAATGAAATTGGTATCAATTTAGCTGCTTACTATGAAGAATATGCTGAACTATTGGAAAGCATGGAAAGGTATTTTATCAAAAAACAAAAAAAAAACAAGTTCGAATTTTTTGGAAATAGGCCAAAATTATACATTTACATTTACCTGACTAGCGTTAACATTAGTAAAGATGCTGGTGAAATTAATTTCACCAATAGCGAAGTTATTTCACCATTCTAATTTAATTTCATTAACGCCTTTAAAATAGCATTAGACCAGTGATAAGGTCAATATTATATGTAAAAGTTCGTCCTTGACATTTTTATTAGTATTTCAGATAAACTTAGACTACCGGCTTTATTATTATATTATTATCCAGATACTGGCTCATTTTCGGTGAATTTATATCCTTCATTCAATATTTATTATTATTATTATTATTCTAGGTATAATGATGCTGAGGAAATATTTATATCCGGAATTAATCAAAAAGCTCAACCATTGGAACGTCTTATCCGTCGATATAAACAATTTAAAGCACGTTTAAACTCATCACGTCAGGAAAATATTCATGACTTTGAAGCATCACAAAATCTTCCTCATAATGAGAACCCACATCGAACCATTCTTGGTATAAAATCTTCTGCTTCATCAACACAATCAATTCCACTAAATGTTTTTAATCAAAGAAATTCTACTCTTCCAAATATCGTTGGTTCAACTACCTATCAACATGGTCATTTTGATAATCATAATGAGAAATTTTCTGTATTTTATGACCCAAACGGTGAATTAGGGAATGCTGCATTAGTTTCTGGAAACATTTCTTCATCATGGAATAATTATGGAACAGAGATTGCCAATAAAAAAGAGAACATTCGAGATGCTGAAAAATGGAAAGGAATAACGTTGCCACAAGCTCGAAAGCCTAGTGTTCCAACCACTTCAAAATTGAAGATTTATCATGACGAACTTCGGAATGAAAAAACATTTGTAGATCTTAATACAATTTATGTTGATGGAAACGAATTTTCTTTTGAAGAACTTCGTGCGATGGCTTTAAGACGGAATTCAATAATTTCCATCAGTCGCAATAATAGAATGTGTGTGGACAATGATGAAAATAACATTAATGAATTAATTACTATGGATCAAAAATTGAAAGACGAATCTGAACGTAGGTATTTTTATAATTATAATTATCCTTAAGTATATTATTTGTTAATTTACTTCACTTAACTTTCTAGCCATTTCTCCAAAGAAACTTACCAAAAAACCTTCTCCAACTATTAACACTAAAGCTGCTTTGGCCGATATATTGGAGATTTTTAGTCAGCCAATGAACTACGAGAAGTCTGACGATGATACGGACGAAGACGACATAACATCTGTATCAAGATATGATAAATTATTTATTCGCAAAACTCCTCGGAATAATGTTATAAGTGATGAAAATATTGCACCATCAAATTATTCTGATAACCATGGTAATTTTAGAATGGTTCCATTTGAGCTCTTGACGCCGATACAAGAAACTAGTCGAGAATATAGGTCAAACTCTACATCTTTCCATCAATCAGATGGTTTCATTACTTTAGATTTAGGGTCTGTGACCGGAACGCCTAAAGTTAAAAACGTAAAACAATTCGGTGAATCCCTCTTTATGAAACCCCCACTATTATTCTCGGTGCCTTCAAATCCTTGTAATCCACTAGATACGAGATTAATTGATCAGGTTTTATCTTCTTTAAATCCTTCGTTGGCACAATATCCTGGTTTTTATGATCTGAGAGGTGAATGTTCAAATAATCACGCGAAATTAGAAAGAATTGCTCGAAATTGGGATAAAAACTGTCGGCGTCGTACTAGTAGTGCAATTAATTTAGATGAACCGATCAGGTTATTTAATGACTCCTTTTTAATCCGTCAAAAGCTTGGCGAAGGTGCATATGGTAGAGTTTATCGTGTATTGGATCTGAAATTCATAAGCGAAAGTCAAAAAGATCCACGGGCATCACGTGCTTTAAAACTTCAAATGCCTTCCACAGCTTGGGAGTTTTACATAATTCGAAAATTGCATGAAAGAATTATTTATCCTACAATTGATTCCATAATAACTGCACACTCTTTATATTGTTATAAAGATGAAAGTTACTTGCTTACTGAGCTTTGTTCTCATGGAACAATCGTAGATGCTATAAATACTGCAAAAAGAGAAAATTCTACCATGGATGAAATATTGGTAATTTTTTTCACCATCGAACTTATGAAAATCGTCGAAGCGATTCATGAAGCGGGAATAATTCATGGTGACATAAAAGCGGATAATTGTCTGTTGAGGTTAGAGCGAACAGCTGAGTGGGATTCTCAATATGATCCATCAGGTGCTCGTGGTTGGTCAAAAAAAGGGATTAAACTAATCGACTTTGGAAGAGCAATTGACGTTACATTATTTCCTCCTGACATGAAATTTATAGCCGATTGGAGATGTGATGATCAAAATTGCATTGAAATGAGAGAAGGTAGACCATGGAAATGGCAAGCGGATTATTACGGTTTAGCTGGTGTAATACATTGTATGCTACATAATGAATATATGCAGATTACTCCTGTAAGAATGGATATCGATTCATTCTCATCAGGTGCAACTATTTCGACAAAAAAATATAAGCCGATACAATCTTTTAAACGTTATTGGCAAGGAAATCTATGGGCTAGACTATTTGATATGCTACTGAACCCATCATTAGTTCGTTCAGACGGACGATTACCGATAACTCAAGAATTGAATAGTATAAGAAAAGAGTTTGAACAGTATTTGATTGATAATTGCGAAAAAATTGGAAAGGAGTTAAAAGCGCAATTAAAGAGATTAGAAGTTAATAGTGAAATAAATTATCATGGTTGAATATCTAGATTCAATTGACAATTTTTCATGATAATTTTAATTACAAAATTTTTTGTTTTTGTTTTTGAATTAATAAATTTTAATATATCGATCAATAAATGCGTTTCATAATCTATTGGCAAGTGTATTAACTATAGATGCAGACATTTGAAGACGTATGGTTGCGTCCATTTGACGTGTCGTCACGTCGAAAGTGTCATAACGACGTAGGTCATAATATCTGATGTTTACCGTAACTTAGTTACGGCAATATAAATTACCGTATCGTCGCCCCGGGAAGTATTTTATATATAAATGATAAAAACTTCATGTCAAGTGTTAAGACATAACATAGATAAAACATTACAGGGATATGCAGAACTCAGCAAAGACAGATGTTACGGCATAAGTCGGACGTAAGTTAGAAGGTACACTCCCCTGACAAAGGTCACCGGAATTTTATAATTACTAATTGATGATCATTTTTTTTACAAGTTTTTAAACTGCAATTTCTTGACAACCCACTTAATAATTTGGGTCAATTTTTTTTTATTTAATAGTAAAATAAAAAAACTATTATTTACAGGTATTAATACCATGTAAGGTATCCATTAGCTTTGATTACAGCAGAAATATGATGGGGCATACTTCCAACAAGATTTTTAAAAATTGAATCATTAAGATTAAATCATTCCTTTTGCAGCAAATTGAATAGTTCTGACTCACTGCTTGGCAGAGGAATATGTTTATAAATCTAATGTTTCAATTCATCTCAAATATGTTTAATGGGATTGAGATCAGGGTTGTGTGAAGTTCAAGAAAGTTGATTGATATTATTTTCATCAAGTTAATCTGTGATAAAAGTTGAAGTATGAATTCTTGCATTGTTATCTTGAAATAGATGGTTTTTTTCACCAACAATGTTTTCTAAATCTCTTAAAAAAGATAACAAGCAATCATGAAGAACCTTGATATAATTTTTCAAATTCATTTTACCAAAAATGTGAACTAAAAGTTCAGGATTATAATAATTAAAACATCTTTAAATCATTACATTTTGTTTTCCTGATCTAAATATAGAAACTAAACAATTTATATTATATTTTTTCTTTGATTTTTTCCAAACATACATATGATTATCCTCTTCAAACATTTCAAATTGTGATTTATCATTCTAAACAACATTTCTCTACCTTATATTCTAATGTTTTCATTTTTCAGCCTACTTCAAATGATCCAAATGAGCAGTTTCATTCACAAATAGTTTTCTCTTTTAAACTCAATTAAAAAATCCTTTTTTATAAAGATAATATTGTATAGTATATATAAATACCTCAATGAATGTTGATTCTACAAATTTATTTATCAAAATATTCAAATTAGTCTTTTTATTGTCTTCTAAAAGATATATAAAATGATAAGAATCATGTTTTTTATTTTAGAGATCATTTTAGAATAAGGAAGAGGTTTTAACTCTCTTTTTTTTTTATAAAAAAAAACAATATTATAGACAGTATTCTTTGGTAAATCTAAGATTTATACAATCTTTGCTGGCTGCATACCACTTTCTCAAGTACTAACAATTTGGGTATATTGATTTTTAGTAAGTTGTTTCTTTTGTTTTATGATAAAAAAAAAAAATTCCAAAAAAAAAAAAAATAGATCAAATAAACTGGCTTCTGGTATAACTGTAAAAAAAAAATTGTATATTTATAGTAAAAGATTTGTTTTCAAAAAAATTATTGTATGACATGAATTATAACTGTCGATCATACATAATTTTGAAAATTCTGATGATCTTTGTTAGAGGAGTGTATTATGTAAATCAGATATTATACAAAAGTTAAATTTTGTAACACAAGTCAGCATGTGTTGTTATGGCCTTTTGATACATTATAATGTTATTAAGTTACATTCAATTGATATTATAGTTTTATTAAATATTTGTATTTATATATACTATTAATCAAGATTTACAAGTTGAAATTTTGAAAAAATTAAATAATACAAAATTAAATAATAGTTTCTTATAACAGAATTTTTAAAGTGATTTGCCTGCCTGGCTTTTAATTTTTAAATCAAAAAATTTTATAAATTCTTTTGTATAAAAAATAGTTAAAACATATAAAAATATTTATTAAAACTATTCAGAAGTATTTATTATAAAATTTTATATTAAAGATTTACAAAAGCTGGCCTGGCTGGGTTATTTAATTAATTTTATATACTTTTATTTATTTTTTATAAAATTTTTCTTAAAAAAAATAATAAGTTAACAAGTATATATAAAGTTCTTTTTGTAAGTTTTATAGTTATATAGTAATCTTTTTAAGTTTTTAGTAATCTTGATTAAGATTTTTGTATTATTATTTTTTAGAATATTTTTTTGGTTTAAATGTTAAATATACTAAGAAAAACAAGTAATTCAAAAGTAAAAATTATTAAAAATATATTTGTTTTTTAGCATTTTATGTTTTTAGTTTTGTTTATAAACAATTTACTTTATATAGAATTAGAAAAATTATTTGTTATATCTTATTATAATATGTTTTTTTGTAACATAATTTTTATTATTATTAACATGTTTTTTAAAATAGTTGAAAAATGTAGAATTTACAAAAAAATTTTTTTTAATAAATATTCAAATATTTGAATACTTAATTAGTTTAGAATATTTGATTAATATTCAATTTTTTATTTATTTATGTATCTTATAATTGGTTATTAATTAAATAATTACAAAACTATATATATAGTTTAATTATTATAAATATAGTACTAGACTGTAAAAGACATCCAATATTTATTAATAAAAACTTTGAAATGTTATAACTTTTTTAAAACAAGTTAAATCAAAAAAACCTTTGACAAATTGATAGATTTTTGGATAAACTACATTTCTGTTAAAGGATTTTTTTTTATTCTTTATTTTAAAAAAGTTATAAAAGATTAAAGTTTATATGAGTTTAAAAAATTGGCATTTAATATAAAAAAAAAGAAAATATATATATATTTTTAATCAATCAAAATCAATTACACAAAAATTAGCCAATCAAAATTAATTATATAAGAACCAAAAATTAGCATCTATATGTATTAATTGGATGTCTTTTACTGTTCTGTACTATATATTGTATAAATTTTAAAATAGTTTTTTCTTTTTTAATATCTATTTTTGTTTTATATAACAAAAGATTAAAAAAAAATTTTTTATATTAATATATTTATATACATAAAGCAAGTTATAATTGTTTATATAAAACTAAGTTAATAACAGTTAGACTCAATATACAAAACAGACTATGACACTTTTTACAACTGTAAAAGTAAGCATATAGTAAGTAAATTTATAGAATTTCTATTTTTTGAATTTTATTTCATTATCTTATATCAAAAAACTATTACAAAACTTATTTTATAACATATTATATGATCTAAACTTATGCTATAATTAATAACTAGCATATTTAAACTTATCTCTACTTTTACATTTATAAACACCTAACTTCTTTTTAAAATACATTTAATATTATAATATTTTACAACTTAATAATTTTAACTATGTACTTATAATATCAATCAAACTTGACTATAGTAAATGCTATATATACTTATTATATAAGTCTTAACCTTTAGCTAATTATTTTTTTTATAATTATTAGACTACAATTATTATTTATCTATACCTATTCTTTTTAAATTCTTTTTAATAACCAATAATATACTAAATATTAATTTGATTATTATAGATAATAAATTTGATTACATCTATTACCAACTAGTAAAAACTATTCTAGAAGATCATAACAATACTATTATAGCAAAATAATACTTTAGATATATTTAACCTAATACTTATTATAACAAATTCTTATTATATAATTACTTTTTATTGCTTTCTTATCCACAAACTATTATTTTTTTCTTATAACATATTTATAATTTTTTTTTTTTTTAACTTTAAGCAGTTATGCTAGTACTTTATTAAGATTTTTGAAACTCAATATATTTATAATTATATAGAATTTCCCAATACTCAAGTCTAGCATCACTTAGCCACCCTATTGATATCTAAATGCAACTTGTCATACTATCTTAGTTAGAGATAGACTGCTCATCTAACTACTTAAAGCTATATCAAAAAGGTCTTTCTCTTTCTGTAACAAGCATATCAATTGTTTTTAAAACTTTTTTCTTCATTCAGTTTATTTTTTTTACTTTCTTTTCCTTTTCTTTTTTCTTTACTACCTTATTTTTTTTTGCTCTTTTCTCTGATCTTTTTTTAATTCAAGCATTTTTTTTTTATCTTGTTTGTTATATTAACTTCTTTTTCCTATTCTTGTATTTTCCTATATCAAACTCTCTTTACTTGGTCAAAGAATGTATTTCATACTGTTCTTATTACTATATCTATGCATTTTTGTATTGCCTGTCTATTTAGAATTTGACTGATCCTCTTTTCAATCTTATTCATTATTAGCCCTTTTATTAAAGCTGTTCTATTAGCAATTTTCTCTGCTTTTGTTTTTCCAAATAATGCCTCATATAACACTAGAGGCAGGATTCTAACTTTTTCATTTTCTTTAAGAGTATTCTATGCTGCTACTGTTACTACTTTTTGGATTCTCTTTTACAAACTTTTTTATTCGTTGCAGCTTGCTAGGTGTGCTTGAGTTTCCTTTTCACCTTTTTGACATACTTGACAGTCAGTCATTTTATATATTTCTGAACTTCTTCTATTTAATTCTTCTAATATTGGCTTACTATCTATTATGCATTTAATCACTATTGCTTTTTTTGTACTAAGTTTTTTTAATATGCAATGAACACCTTTTGTTCTATTTATCTCTTTTCAAAAGCTTGACCAATTATATTGAGTGTTCTCTATTTCTGGTTCTAGTGCTTAAATTGGATTTGTTTCTCTCCAACTAGCTCCAATTCTAATATTTGTGACTATTTTGCAAAGAAGTTTTGTCGGTATATCAACTTTTCTGTTTTTCTATTCTAAATGGTACTCTATC